ATCAAAGTGTGTTATCCATTAACATTAAATGTGATCGAAAGCAAAAACACATTTTTTGTAAGGAAAAGTACACAAAGAAAACATTTACTTTTAATATAAAAATATTACATATGCGAGATTAAGTAGTTGTACCATTGACTATACTCAAAATTAAAAAATTCTCACCAGCTTTATAAAATAAATGAAACATCATATTTTGCAACTACCAATCCGAGATATATAGCTTAATTTGTGGGGGTTTTTGAAACAAGTGGAGTTAAGAAATGGACAGAGACGAACAGTTAAGAATGGCTTCTCAAATTAATACTTTTTAAAAAATGAGATTTTACACGTTTAGTGGCCTACACAGACATAGCCTAAAGTTTGTCTTTATTAATATAAAAGAGAGAGAAGCTAATGATGTAGATGATGGATTAGCCAAATATGGAAGCTCCTTGTCCTCGATCTGTTTCCGATGCCTGGATTCCAAATTTGTAATCTGATGCTTTTCCAGCACCCTATCAATAAAACTTATTAACCTTCTTGTCTAGAGAGAGAGAGGGGGGATTTGATTTTTGAAAGAGTGAATTCTAAGTATAATGAGCTCATTTCCTATTATTTCCAGATAAGGAACTTTTGGGATTCTCACTTTAAGAACCTACCCATGTAAATAAGAGAATACATATGATATTCCATGAGATGGATACCATTAATTTTCTTAATGAAAAAGAGTAAAAAGAGAAAAAGAAAAGATAAGGTATCATGAAAAGCAATTCCAACTCCTGCATGGCTAAAATGACTCACTCTCTCTCTCTCTCTCTCTCTATCCTGGGATCTCCCCTCAATCCTTTCACCACCTGAAAAGCAAGTGGAAGAACCTCAAAAGCATCAAAGACTGTAGCTTTGTCGTCATCTCACTCTATTCTGTTTGTCTTTATCCACCTTCATTATTTTCCATATGCATAATAATGTCATCACTTTCTTGCCTAACAACCCCTCAAATTGCTTCCCTTCCAAAATAATAGACAAATATACCCCCTCTCCCTAGTTTTAGAGAGAGCATAAAAAGTTAAGTCATTAGCAGGTAAATTAACTTAGGAAATATATGATAAAATTGTTTATTTTTTTGGTATAAAGAAGTCATGATCATTACCAACGGTTAAAAATGATATTAAGTGGCTAGAGTGTATATTCACCGTGGATAAAGTATTAGATATAATTTCATCAAATATATGATATGGAAGCTTTTGACTTTATTGAGGGTACGACATTTAATAGAACAGAATGGTAAAGCAAGATTTGTGCAGTCGACCACAAATAATTAAAAAAAACTCTGATAATAATGATGGCACACATTTTAAGCTGTCGAATTTCACATCCGATGACTAAAAATTACTATAACATATCTTATAATATACTATATACTCTCCCCATGTAAACAATTCAATCAAATATTTGTCTTCCATGTTGTATTTGGTTTTTCAGCGCTTCCCAACCATACGATGGAGTTGGGACATGTTCTTTCTCCACTAGAACCCTGCAATTATCGATATCACGCAATTTAGCACAGTACATGAATGCATGATATCATCATTTGAGCCTTATCGAACTACTTAATTTTGGTTACATTAATCGTTTCTATCATTCCACTCTATCTAAGGTCATTCTCTCTCGTATCTCTTCTCATTATATGCATCATTCTAAGATGATGGTCTTATATTATTCCTTAATATGGTAGGCTTACAATATTATTTGATATTTATTTTGCTTAGAGTGAAGAAATAATAAATAAATAAATGGTTAGTGGGTGATTTTCTTTTATGAATATTAACCAAAAAATAAGGAGCAAGTTTGTACAAGGTCTTAACCATATACTTATAGTTAGGCGCATCTCAAAAATCTATTGAAAAGATCTGGCCTACCTGACACTAAAAAGACCATTTAGTTCAGCATCTCAAATTCAAGATATATGAATATCAAAAAGACAAGAAAAAAAAAAATTTGCGTCTGAAAACAGTGCATCTTTTAAAACATTATTTGGATTGTCTATTTTTAAGACTTTCAATAATTTTTAGATTTACACGATATGCACCATTTTCATAACATTAAGTTTTATGATTACATGTCAAAATAAATTTTCAAGTCATCACCAAATTTTTGGGACCAGAATAATATCTTCCAAGGCATAGCAAGTAGGGCTGGTAATGGATGGACCAGCCCTAAGCCACAAAACAGGGTTAGGCTAGGTGGGGACTAACACTAAAAAAAAAAAATAAGAAGAAGAAAAAAATAAGAAAAATAAAGGTTGGGTTGAACCGACCTCACCCAGGCTCAGTCCATACCTCGGACCATGGTAGCCTAGATCTAGCCTGGCCCGCAGGCTACAAATTATGGCACGAGCCCTAGTTTTTCATTGTTGACCCGACATAGGGATAGCAACTTGTCGGGTATGGGCCCGGCCAGACTTGGACCCAAAAATATAGTGGGGGACCCAGAACTGAACCTAGACCTGACTCGCCAGCCTAATTTTTAGACCTATACCGGAATCCGAATCAGGTCTTGAGTGGGTTCCGGGTCATTGCGGCCCTTACCCGACCCGCCGACATATAAGTAACGATTTTAAACAACACACGTCAAGTGAGTCCCGTTCCTTGTCTAATTTCCCGACCCTTTTCCAACTTTTCCTTTTTCCTTCCCCTTTATAATTTTGTCATTTTCTCTCTCTTCTCTCTTAAAAACAAACCTTCGCTCCAACCAAGAGGCAAGAAGCACTGTTTCCACTGTCTAGAGAGAGAAAATGTCGAGAAAAGCGAGCAGTCGCGTGAGCTTCACCCCCACCTTGCCGGAAAACCCGACATCCTCTGAAATTCCGGCCACTATGGCCGCCAGGAATAGAGCTGGGTTCAAAATTCCGGCGAGTTTCTGCAACCTCCCACCGAGAAGAAGTAATGGGTTCTTTCGATTGAGAGTTTTCCGGTCTCTGAAAGAGAAGGTAGGGAGAGCTCTTTGTTGGGTCCCAAAAAAACCAGAAAAAGTTCAAGCCATTAAAAGGCGAGTTCCGGCTTGGTCTACTCCGGATTCTCACCATAGAGAGGCCATTGATGACTGCATTGAGTTCATTAATTCCAAGGCTTATTTAGAGAGATGTGTTTCAGTTCCAGAGAGAAGTAGGTGAGTGAGACTGTAATTTGGTTTTTTGTATGCATAGATTTTTTTATCTTGGGTTTTAATTTTGAAAGGAAGAGAGTGTTTGAGTGTGAGAAAGATTATTAGCGGTAATGGGTGTTTTTTGTTGGATTATATTGTTCGGTGCAGTTAGTCTCAGAAAGAAAGAGAGAACGAGACAGAGAGTACTTTTTGGTGCAGGTAGTCTCAGAGGAGAGAGAGAGAGAGAGAGAGAGAAAATACTTTTTGGTGGAGGTAGACTCAAAGAAGAGCGAGAGAGTAATGTTCAGTGAAATAAAGTGGCAGAGAGACTGAGAGCACTACTTAATTCTAATAGAGAGAGAGAGAGAGTAATGTTCAGTGAAATAAAGTCGCAGAGAGACTGAGAGGGAGAGAGAGTATTGTTAAGTGCACTACTGAATTCTAAGAGAGAGTAATGTTCAGTAAAATAAATTCACAGAGAGACTGAGAGGGAGAGATAGTATTGTTAAGTGCACAACTTAAGTCAGAGAGAGAGAGAGACAGAAAGTCTCAGAGACAGAAAAAACTTCAGTACACTAAATTTGCAGAGAGAGATATACAGAGAGAATTGTTTTAGAACGCGGGTTTGAGACCCCGAAAATAGCAGAGAGAGAAGAAAGATGGGTGGAGGAGAGAGAGATGGGTCGGCAGGTAGAGAGAGATGGATTGGCAGGTGAGGTGAGAGAAAGAAGAGAGAGAGAGAGAGGGACGGCAGGTGCAGAGAAGAGTATCTTTTCCATTCTCATTTGCCAATAACCAATGTACAAAGACAGAGGGGGAGTTTATTTTGTTTATTGCAGTATGATACCGTAAAGGTTTTGATGTCATGAGGTGGCGTGTGTATATTATGTATATGGACAAGAATTTTGGAGTGTAGTTATTGTGTGTTGCTACTACATTTACATGTGCAACAACTTTGGACTCTTGCTTTTTTTTAGTGAATGAAGTTATCAGTAGAGAGAGAGATTTGACAACGTGTGATTAAGGTTTAGAGAGAGAAAGAAGAGAGAGAGAGTTGGACTATAGTTTTTGTGGAAATATGGGAATTATAAAAAATCACAATTATTCTTAACAATTAGATGCCAAAATTATTCTTAACAATTAGATGCCAAATTACATCACTCATATCGTATCATAAAGTTCTAGATTTTTTCTTTTCAACTTTTTGAGTTTCCTCGATGGTGCTTTTACGATCACAGTTTTGAAATATGATGGGCAAGGGCAATCGTAACTTCTTCGTACCAAAAGTAAAGTAAATGCTCTCCCCGCATACATTTCCATAAAATAATACCTCAATAAATGTAGACCCTCCCTCTCTCTCTCTCTTACACACAAACCTCACGTCTAAAACTAGAAAGCTCATGTTTCAAACATCCACCATACTCTAGTAGTTGATAGGTTAATTATTGAAGTAAGGAAAAAGTTTATATAAGGATGCCCCTCAACCAAAAAAAAAAAGTAGTTTTAATGTTGAAAAATCCTTCGATTGATCATCTCGATACCGAGATCTATGACTATGAAAAATAAAAAAAATTTAAGTCTAAAAAATAATACATTTTACAACATATTATCTACACTGCCCATTTTCAAGATTTTCAAATGTTTATAGATCTAATTGATTTTAACCATTTTTAAAATTTAAAATTTTATAATTAGATATAAAAATAGATTTTGAGATAATCCTAAGAATATTTTACATCAAAATTATATAATACCATGATAAAATTTGAAGGTGCACCTTACCTCTACACCTACGGATGCATCCGTATGCAAACTGCACCCATTAAAGAAACCATAAACAGTAAGAAATATCAATAATTTTATTATGGAATGCATCAGAAAAGTGGCCTCATTAACTCATTAACTGAACTGGAAGAAATAATCTTAGAATTCCAGCCCCTATTTGTAAAGCAGTAAGATGCAAACCCCAGCATGATTCTTGTTGAGGATCCAATACACTGTTGAAGAGGGTGGCCAAGGCCACAAATTCAATATTTTTGCTATGCAACTTAACAAGGAAGAGAGAGAGCACACATTCTCTTTCTCTCTCTAAAAATTCTCTCTCTCTCTCTCTCTGGAAAAAAAACAGAAAACAAAAGAAAAGGAACATAACCATTTGCAGCTCTTGCCTTTGCCAATCGATACAGAACTAAGAGAGTCAGGAGTCAAGGGAAAGCTTGTTGAGCTCTTTTGTAGCATGGGCAGCCTGCTTCTTGAGTTCAAGGGCCATTTTATAGGGTGGCGCAATAGGCGGCTGAACAGGGTCTAGGCTTTGATAAGAAGATCCTTGCGTTGTTGAGCAGAGAGGATAAGAGCGATCCGAATCATATCCACTAAGGTCACCACAAGCTAGAAATGGAATATAGACCTTGTTTGGTCCTTCTAGCCAGCCACTACTACAATCTACCAAACCAAACCAAAACAAAATAATTGTTCCAGGAAACAGTCTAAAACAAGGACTTGGATCAGGTCTCGCTTGGGCCCAAGCCCAAGTCAGGTCTGACAGACTCAGGAGTCTCTCAGCGACACTGCCGAGTCCTAAAAAAAATTAAAATACCGGGAACTAGTCACAGCCGAATCCTAAAATTTCAAAAAGAAAAAAATTAAAAATTAAAAATACTCGAGAGAGAAAGATCGAGAGAAAGAGAGAGAAAGAGAGAGAGAGTAACTAAACTACCCAAAACCAAATAGACAACCGTGCAGAGAAGAAAGACAGCAAAATATTGGATGGATGAGGATCACCAGTATCAGTGGTTCCCGACGGAGAACCCACTTTCTCCAGCAGCCGATACAAGTCTTTCTCGTTGAATCCTTCAGGTGGACTGTAATTTTCACATACTGCAAAAGCTTCTGCAAAATTGCATCAAAAGTTTTAAGAATAAAAAAGAAAATTGCATGAAAATAACAGCTTGACATATTCATGGGCATTTCAACTGTTACGACAGTCACTTTCTTTGACAGATGAGAGAAACGGAGGGAAATGTACAAAAAAAAAAAAATACATTCGCAAACTGAGAAAGATGAACAGAGAAGATGAGTCTAGGGCAGATGGTTCTCAACAGGTTATTGCAAAAGCATGGCTTCCTGCTTAAATATTAAACATGAGCAGGAGAGAGGTATCACTAACCAACGAAGAGAGAGAGAGAGAGAGCACTGACCAATGCTGGAGTTCCGACTACTCTTAGGCTTTGCAAAAGTTACAATAGGGAAAAACAACTTGAGCTGCACATGCAACAACGTGGAAGGGTTTCAGAATCTGTGGTTCTAAATTTCCAGCAAAAAAGTGAGAATTATTTCTGTCTGAAGGATGACAGAGCAGAAGGAAGTCAAATATAATGTAATGGATCACACACATATAAAATAAAATAACCTACATTTTATTGATAACTCGGTAACAAGTTAATGGCACTGTCTTTCTATTAGACAGATACAATAGTAGCAAGTTTGATATGAACATTAAATCAAACTAAGATTAAATCAAACTCCGTCCAATTTAATGGTCACAGTTTTGGTTCATCGTTTTACTTCTCATCAGCTCATTCCTATTTTCCTACTACCATGTTCTTTAACTTGTCATCATAAACACCAGTGCAAGTCTAGATGATGAGCTCTATATTTCACCAGACCATGCATTCTTGTCAGGCCTTACCACTCTCTCAGACTGCATTTTTCGAGGCCTAAATGATTTCAAGGTTTTTAAGTAATCATCATATTTCATTGCCAAGCATAAGAGACACAGGTTAAGTGCAAGCAATTATCATCTCCCTCCCTCTGTCCTTCTGTCCCCCCCTTGCCCCCCTTTATGACCCAGCAATCATATGAATACAAGAGGCAGATGCAGTTGGTCCAGGTTCTCAAATGCAATAGCAAGCATTTGACTACAAGAAACCTCCCTCCCTCCCTCCCTCGATAAAATTCAAAATACAATGAATCAAATAATATAACAACTAAAGGACACATAAGATAAATTTACCCAAAAGAAAGGATGCAAAGGAAAAATAACATACTTGGCAGTAGAGGAGGCTTGTGTCTTTACCCCGAAATATCTTAGCAATAAACTTTCCCCCAACTCGAAGAACATGGGTAACAATAGTTAAAGCCTGTAAAGATTAAAAAAATGGAATGATGTTTGTGTTCCCCAAAAATTTCATGGTTAATGCATTCAAAATGGGAGTTTCCAACTTTGTTCATAAAGAGAGAAATAGAAGAATCTACGTGAAGATTAATCAGCAATCTTAATTCTTGACATAAGCGAAAATGCTAGAATTTATGAGGCATGTGTACTTTTCACAGAATAAGATACAAGGCCGTCAACACATTTCTGTACAGAAGCTTGCAATGGATTGTGGCATGTGCATAGAAGACCATGTAGAAAACAAAGTGCCAAGCGAATAGATTACAAGTGGCGGGCTAACTTGCTAGTCAAGTTTAGATCCGACCTATTATACCACAAGATGCTTTTCTAATGCATAAGAGTACACGTTTAAATGACTCGTTGTGAAAAACTTTTTATTTTTTCTCAATGTCAAAGCAATCCATTTTCCTCAGGATCCCAAGTTCCCAACTGGGCCAATGCGTGCTAGAAGTCAATGGTTTTGCTAATTTCCGAATAACTGAAGACACACCACCATAGGACAGCTGAAACCTAACAATCATCCTTTTTGAGTAGTTCAGCAGTCAGATTCAAACTTGGGACGTAGTGTTGCGATAGTCAACACCTTAGCCAACCCAAGCCAAGCCCGAAAGTCCGAAACCAAGGATCATCTTATTATTGTGGCTTACTAGGCAGTCCATGCACACACCCTTACAATGAAAGATGAGCTAGACCGCTCCAAGACTTTCCTAATGAAACAAGAAAACAACTACCAAAGTTGATGGATGCATATCTTTTGTTCTACAAAATCCACATAGAATCCCACCAAAACAAAGTGGAATTCGTCAGTCACCAACACCTTCAATGTTCAACATGTGTATATCTTTTGACATTGTTTTTGGTGGCAAGGTCATTTCAATCTTTATGCATTTGAAGCTACAGATTAAACAGGCGACTAGCTCCATCCACATTATAAGGCTTTCAAATGTATTAAACCTATTATTTACAAGGACTTTATTCTTTTGATCTAGTGAATGACGCTCTCTCTGTTCATATTCATAAATGCATCTTGTTCATACAAGCAGTATGGTGAAGATCTTGAAGGACAAAAGTACATGTCATTGACATGAAGACTATGAAAGTTGACACGTAAAGACTCACTTTTCTCCATGACCATTTTGCACCAAAGATCAAGAATACACCTTAAACCTTTAGCATCACTGATGAAGAGATATAAAATTGGAAGTTTGAATGCCAGAAAAGTATTGCCAACTTCTACTGGGTCATAAACATGGAATGTTAGTCTAAGACCAATCGCTAATGTTAAGTTATCTTCTAACATAATCACCCCTTGAGCTGTTGAAAGTTGAGTTCCACTGGAAGTTCTCAATTTACTTTCACATTTCATCAGTTTCAGTCCAGCAAATCCGATATTCCATAACAATTAAGTCTTAAAAAGTCGTTAAAAATGATCTACCAGAGAAAATCAATGATGATTGTAACTTACAGCTAGGATCAGTTGGGACTGTACAAATTCATCCATATCATGGAGACCAGTAACTGCAATCGAAATGATATCGAGTCATATTTAGAATTTCCATGGACTAAATTGACAGCGCCTGCACAAACTTTGCAGAGAACAAACTACATGAGCTAGACAACACTCCGAATCACTTTTCTTACCATCAGGAGCACCATCACAAACAACCAAATCTGCTTTACACCCATCAAAATGTTTAATAACCTGTTAGAAAAGACAATTTACAGAATGGGAAAAAATCAAATTTATATGGAAGCCTAATATAAAGAAAACTTTAAGCCAGCTCTAAGTTGATCATAAATGCCTCACCAGAACGAAAAGAAAACAACTCCTAAAAAAAGCTGACATCAAATGTCAATTATGAAGGTGGTGACCAATTGAACATAATTTTTACCATAAATTAAGGAAAATAAAAAGGGATACTTTCTATGGACAGGGCCATCAAGTCCTACAGCGCTGGACCCCACAAAAACTTTGGGCAGCGGCTTAAATTTTTCTTTCTTCTTTTCCAGTGGTGGGGGGAGAAGTTTAACAAGGTAAATCAAGATATGTTTACAAAATTTTAGGTCATATAAATCCTCCTAACATGGTTTCTGGTGGGTCGTCAATGCTGTAGAAATAGAAGGCCAGCCCCTTCCACAGGTAGTTTTTTCCAACATAAAAAAAAACAAAACCTTTGCCATCAGTATCATTTAAAATACAGAAAAAGAAGCATGGGGAATGAAAAATAGGCAGAGCAATGGAATTACTAGAGGTTGAGATGCCCCAGATAAAGTATTAAAAAAAGAGATGATAGACCACTAAAAGGAAACCAGCACATAATCAAAAGGGCTCAAATAAATTTGATAAAGATGATGTTCATGGGATATTATTACCACTTCAGCTGTCCGTGCATTAGTGATATCTCCTTGCACTTGAATAACACCATCAATAGGGGCCATGGGCTGTAAATCAATAGCAACAATAAGCGGAAGCTCGGATTCCCTGTGCAATGATTAAGCTGATAAGTATTGTGCACTCAGGTAGCATGGGAAGTATGCTAAAGAAGCCTCAAACTGGTGATGTATTATAAAAGCAGTATAATAATTTATTTCTCAGATTTGCATGAATGGGTACCAATTTAAAAAGAACAACCAAAAGGTGGTAAGAGTAACTAAAGATGAAGATAATAAGCAATATAATCATGCAAAATTATATTGCTTACATAACCAATGAAAATTATCAATGCCTGCATATACAACAACAAATAAAAAACAGCACAATGGCAAGCAAGGAAACATATCGAACACACCTTGTCTCTGGGGAAAGCTTGGCAGGGAGATATAACTTTCTGCTCAGGACCTAGGAATGAAAGTTTTCTCAGATGGTATCGAGTAATTAAAAATGTCACCAGAATTTCTGCAACTTATGAAAACTATAAAAGCGAGTGTGAAGTTGATGGACATCTCAAAAGCAACAAATAGGAAAATGACGTGTCCTTTCTAATATGAACAATATATTGTATTATCAAAATTTCAGAACAAATCCCAAAAATTCAGCAACCAGCAGGTGTCTTGCATCACCTCCAAGTCAGACGTTAGGATTCTTTTCCCTTTTTATGAATTAGCAAGCCGATTAGTTCAGGCAATACTTAGATAGCCCTTTGTCATCAACCATATCAAATGGCTACTCGAGCAATCTAAAAGACAGAGTACAATAGCTAGCAATCTCAGAATAAAGCAAGTTCAGATCCCAAATAGAAAAGGAAAAGCCTCCTCTCTCTTTCCTTTCTTTTTTTTTCCTTTTTATTTTGGGCTGGGGGGGAGGGGGGGGGAGGAGCTAAAAGAAAGAAAGGAAAGCATGAGAAATTTGTTGCCATGAATTAACATTGGCAAGGTCTTAACAAGAGTAAGTAATCAATCAACCACAGATTTTTAAAATGACAAATTTAACCTTTCCATGTTATTTGGACCATTAAGGATCCAGTTTCATTGAGATTGTATTCCATAGACATAAATGACATCTGCTTTTTTGTTAAAGGGAATGCTTTACATTCCTTGTCCTGCTTTCAAGACTCTAATTTTCCATCACATTCAGCACATAGGTACTCTGAAATGGTCAATAAGCCTACTCTTTTCTTGTTGATCTTTGATTCAGGAACCATTCAAGAAATTGCTGGCATCTTTATCCTCAACTTCTAAATTTCGTTTCTTTCTTCCAGGAAACTAAAAGGTTTCACTTGGAGCTGATGAAACACCAAAGCATTCTCTTCCATGGGTAAACCAAAATAATATTAAAACCAAAGCCTGGGCAAACTACTAAAGACAGTATTGAACAGAATAACATTAAACCAAACCCCAGGTTAGAATTTACCTGACTCCAACTACCAGGAGCTGCACAAAGATCAACCACACGCTTTACTCCTACAAGCGAAAAAACCAGGCCCTCAAATATACTCAAAGGGACATATGCAGATTGAATAAAAGGACAGCCAAATTCCGGCTACAAAGGTAAAATGCATATGAAAATTCACATATGGAAGTACCAGTAAATGCCTACATCAGAAAGATAAACCAAAAAGCAGTAACAGGAACATCAAAAACAGAAGTATGAGAGGAGCCCAAGAAGTAACAACCAATCAACTTCTCAATAATCCTACGAGCAACAAGTGAAGGAAAAACCATTATGATGCTTAGGAGCATCGGAGGAGGTTATGATTTGAAGTTTTTTTTTTTTTGTTCTTGGTAATTGGCTGGAGCAATATACTAGACTGTATATAGAGATAGAAAAAGAAAATGCCATAAGATTATTCAAGATGTGAAGAAAGTCCCATCAACACAAGAAAAAAAGGAAACAAAAAACAAGGATACCATCAAAGATATTGAACTCTTCATCGATCTGAAGAAGCTTGAAGGCACTGCGAGCTCGCCAACCTTCTTCTTTTGCTTTGCGATAATAAATATCCTACGCACCCTAATCAATTTTCGTTTAGGAAAACATGTATGTATACATATATGAGTGTGCACTACATTAAAGCAACTAAATACAGTGAATTTTACCCTCTTGTCCCTTGAAGCCTTTCCCATGATCTTTTATAACCAAAAAGATGAACCTACGCAGAAAAAAGTTCTAACATTAAAAATAATGTATCGTCGTGTATCCATTAGGCATGTAAGATAAACATGTATATATGTGTGTATTCATTTGTATGTGTATGTGTGAATGAAATAACATCAATACATAAATGCATATGTATGTGATTATGCATGTGTGCATGGGACTCAGATTTCACACTACTCAACTGTGTTGGGAAAATGCCGGACTGACTGAGGATTCAGACTGGAGTTCTAGACCTAAAAACTGGGAAACACTCATCTCCCAGATTTTCTATAAGTACTTAAATTTCCTTCAATTTTTTTTTTTCCGACTTGGACTCACCCAATACGAACCATGGGGGCTTGGGATCGGGACATAGTGAGTACCTAAATGAGTTTGACTTTTTATCACTGCTACTCACTCAAACACTAATTCAAACTTCAAAGAATTTATGCATTTTTTTTTTTTCAAAATTAGGAACAAAAAATAACTGAGTAATTGCTATATTGTTTTTTCCCACTTTATCTATCCCACTAGTTTCCTTTACTTTTTAAGATGAATTCCCAAACTTTGACTCAAGTTTTCAAGAAATTTTTTGCAAAACTTTTCAGGGTTTTCCCCAAACTTAAATAAAAGATTCAGAATTTTCAGACTTTCAGCCAATTCCCAAAAGATTTTTCATGTGACATGGTTTCCTATTAGTAGCGATCAAAATACAAAAATGCAGGTGTGAAGCATTAAATCTTGATGCGCTTGGCATAAAATTACAGTGGTTGCATACCGAAACAACACTCATATGTATCCCCTGAGACAAAAGAATATTCACTAGGAGCTTCTTAACTTCACACACTTAATCCCAATTTTAGAATTAAATTTTAAATAAAATAACACCTATTTTGTCATTCAAAATTCAAAAACGCAAATAAACAAGATGAACCTTTTGAATTCATTTCGATTTTCAAATTAATTATGGAAATCAACAGAAATAAATAAAAACAGAAAACATGAGTAACCAGCACCAATTTATCATTCAAAAACTGCAAATTAACAAAGTCCGCAAAATAACGAAGACTGCAAGAGTGGTCTTATAAAAAGAAACAGCATCAATGGAGAAAATAATTTTCAAGGGGCACAAGAAAAATGTCAAAAAGACTCACCAAATTCAGGTTTACACATGAATTCCTAACGGCATGACGCTCATCTGCATTCAAACTTCCGCAAACAATTCCCTGCCTCTGAAAACGAGTAATAAAACCCCATGTAAGCAAATGAATCATAAAAACCCTAGAAAACTGAGTGACACATAAAACCGTAGAGAAGTGATGGAACCACAAAAACCCTAAAAAATTGCCCAAAATTAACCAGAAAACCACCCAAATAAAAAAAAACCAACTGAGACGCACAAAAAAATCTTAGAAACACATGGAACAGAATCATAAAACCCTTGAAAAAATAAATTAAAGCAGGAAACTGAATTACCCCTAAAAATGGCGGCAATATATGAGAAGCCCACAGCAAGATAACGATGGACGCGCGTTTAAATATGGGAGATACCCCAAGAGGAGTTTTTACCTTCGTCACGATCATATAAATCCGTCGGATGTAAAATCGGGCGTTTACTGGTGTAGCATTGTCGCCGAAAGTGTGGGAAGTGATACCATCTCAGCCGCCCGAATTGACATCTGACGGATCACCGTGATTGTGTGCTTTTCATTGATTTGACACATGAATTTGAGAAATAAATAAATAAACAATATTCAAATGCCAGATACCGTAAATCTCACAAAATATTCTTTAATAAATAAATAAACAATATTCAAATGCCAGATACAGTAAATCTCACAAAATATTCTTTGGATCATCAATTTATCTATTTTCAAGACTTTCATGTTTCTTGATTTGAACCATTTTTTTTTTTAGATATTAAAAATTTATAAATAGAGATTAAAATAGATTATTTGGTCGCTCTAAACATTTTTTAAACCAAATTTGCATTTTACAAGAAAGTCTAGAGGTATTTGATACCAAATTTGCATTGTTTAAAGTTTCGGCCTCATGCAAATCTTACCTTATAAGTAAAGAATAAGTTTATATAAGGTGTCAACCTTATACTGTACAGGTAAGGTGCACCTAAAAACCCATTAGAGAAGATTGTTCATATGCCAAAAAACCTTCAAATCGATCATCATGACCTCGAGATTCATAGACGTGAAAAAACTAAAAAAATAAAAAGAAGTCTATGGTCCTAAAAATAGTTCATTTTCGGATTATCTGGACCGTTCATTTTCAAGATTTCAAGTGTGAATAGATGTGCTTGATCGTCACCATTTATGAAACCTTAAATTTCATAAAAGGAGAAACAATATATTTTCATATCATCCCAAGGCTTTACGGCACCGAAACTGCATTTTCAGCATAGTTGCGAGGTGCACCTTACTTAAATAATCTAAGTTGTCACCTTATACAAACGTCACCCTATAAGTAAATATCTTTATTGTATATATACATGAGAAATATTATGTGTACTTCAAATGTAGACATTGCTAGGATGACTATGGATCATAGTTAGCAAGTCGGGGCATAATAAAATATCAGCATATCAAAACATCGGCAACAAATTGATTTTATTTAAAAAAAGTTGGAGGAAAAAATAAGGTAAAAGAAATGGATCACCAAAAATAAGGTAAGCTATAAAATCGTGAATATTTCGGATTTGATTGAAAATAAGGTAGTGAAAAAATCGAATATCTAAAGATGATAAAATATAGGATTACGATTTTCAGCTATTGTATAGATATACTAAACCCACTAAGCAATATTTTTATAGCCTTACGAGTGACATTAGAATAGTACTTAACAATTTTTTGTTGATATTTTAAATAAATACAACCACAATGCTTACTTTGCTGTCACATCACAAAACATATCATAAATCTATTATGAGCATTAAATGAAATAATGACAACAATACTAAGCACAATAATTAATTAATAAATAATAAGAATTGTGAACCAAGATATAGGATTATTTATAAAACAAAAAAACACCCTCAATATAAGATTGCAGCTAATTTTTTTTAAAAAAACACAAATACCCAAATATGTGAAATAATGTTCCATCCAAAATTCTATTTTGTATACACCACTAAAATATGAAAATAAAAAACAAAATATAAAAGTAATCAAACTTATTTATGCATAAAAAAAAAAACAAATTGCTCAATAAAAAACAAATTTTCTTTTTCAGTTATTACCTAAGCAGTAGATGAAACATCTCCAAATATTGGGGTCCTAGAAATATCCTTAGTTGGTATTTATCCAAGGGAGTAAATAAACATTTTGCTCATGCAAGAGCATAAAGTCCTAAAAATAGTTTTGATAGAGATGCACTTAAGCCTCGCCTCATAATTCATCAAAAGTTACAATTCAAGTACCGGAAAACCTTTCCATCGATCATCTCGGAATGAACATATTAGATTTAAAAAAAAAAGGATTTTAAGCTTTAAAATTTTGTATATTGTAAATAATTATATAGAACGTCCATTTCACCCTAAAACAAGTGTTTACAGATCTGCAAGATCTATACTATTTTTTCAAATTTAATTTTATTGTTGGTATTAGAAATTGATTCAGATCCATAATGGATATTTTTGTTGATGAAAGTGCTTTCTAGACAATGATTTGAGGTGGAACAATTGTTTCATGAGGGTTGGGCCGCATTTGTAGGTCCAGATATATAAAGCATCCATCTTAAAGATGGATGCAAATAAGTGGTCCATCTAAAAACAATGAGAACTCGAGGTCAAAATGTTTTCTTAATATTATTATTAATTTTAGTTTTCAAAATTTATTTATTTTTCATAATTATGATCTACATGTTAAAGATCATTATATTCTTTAAAAATAGGATCAAATTATATTTAAAAAATATATTTATTGCCAAGCCCGTATTTCTATAATATGCGGGTTGGCCTTATGCTAACCTCATCCATTCAAATATTATATCCAAAGATAGCATTAATAGTTTTTAAAAATTATTTATGTTTATAGTTTAATAAACTAAATGTTAAAAATTATATATTCCTTAAAAATTATTATTAAATTATCTTTCAAAAATAAAATATTGAGGGGCACGCATTTTTACCTGTGAGTCCGTGGACTCAAAGAATCCGTGTCCTTTTGAAATTACGGCCAAGTTGGACCGAACCTGAAAACGCCGTTTTCCTGTTTTTTTAAACCATTCTCCCGCGTATTTCCTTCTGCTTTTCTGAGTTAACAACGGCTACATTGTACAGCTCAACCACGGCCAGGGTTTCATTTGTGCTAGGGATTGATATTCTAGACCCTAGCGAGTTCCAGGTATGAGTTATTGGGGTTTTCCTTTCTCTTACGGTCTTACCAGAGCTTAAATCTACATTTAATACGCCTGAAGAAGCGTTAGGGTTTCTTAACCTGGCCGGATTTGGTTACCATTTCCTCTTTTGCTGGTTTGGGCATTTTAATGCTGTTCAATATATTAAAATAATGTTTGTTTACGGGGTTTTCTGCTATTGGTTATTGCTGGTTTGGAGTTTTGTGCTGCTTTAGGTTTAGGTTTTTGAATAACGTCTAGGGTTTAACACTGGTTCATGTTTTGTGCGGCCTTTTGGGGTTTAGGGTTTTATATATGTGTTTGTTTAGTGAGGCCCCTCGGTTTTTGTGATCGTCGGGTTCCGAGCTTTTGATGTGTTATTGTGTTATGCACTTCTCTTTTTTTTGTTGTATTTTTTTCTCAACCATTTTTTTTATTAATTCTGCTGTTCTGTCTCTCTCTCTTTATTACTTTATTTTCCACCCATTTGATTTATCGTTATGCATTAACTCTTGAGATTCAAACCTCTCATTATGGGCTATTTTCTCTTAAGCCCATTCTCCCTCCCTCCAACATTATAAATCATCTGTCTCTCTCTCCAACATTATAAATCATTTGCTGCTCTCTCTCTCTAACATTATAAATCATATGTCTGAGTTGAATTTTTTGTATGCATTGGCTTAGAATCTAGCTCCCTTGCAGCACTTGTATGGTTTGCGCTCTTGATTTAGCCATTTGAGCTGATGTTGTTTTATGATACTTTTTTACTTTTTCATTATTCCTATCGATCCCTTTTAATATTGCACATTAAGAAATTTGTGGAATTTTGTTGGATTTAAGTACATACACATTTATTTCCTGAGATTTCCCTTCTCTACCACTCAATGGGAACTCAATAACCCATATCTTTCTCAGTTTCTTGTTGGGTTTATCTGGCCTTTAAAAGACTTAAGAGAGATTGTATAAACATTTGAATAAATGAATCATAAATTCAGTGAGAGTGTAGTCCTCTTGTAGACCATACAATTTGCCGATACTCGGACTAGGTTTGATGTGCTAGGCCGACCGAGTTGGAAAACCCAAGGTACCTGGGCATAGAGATATAACCGATGAGGGTTTAGTGGGTTAGCCATTGATGAGGTCGGAGTATGCCTGGATGAGAGCCGAGGGACTATGTGACCCTTCTGTGTGATGAATAGTCTATAGAGAGGACTAAAACATTATCATTGTATCATCACACGGCATGTGCATAAATATCCGTATTGAGATAGTAATCCACTATTGAGGGTAAAGCATGTACATGTGCGAGAGATTACCTCTATGCACCATAGAGTCATAGTTGCATCATGATCTGGTGGATCCTAGTTTGTTTTTAGGGGAGAACCTTAAATCCAAAGGCTAGGATTGCATCTCCTAGCCCATTGATTGATTTTGGTGGTCCAATCATGAGCTCCTACAGTGGATCGTGGGTCATAGGAACTGTTGGGTCAATTTGAGAAAGCTAGTGGATTGTGGTCCACAGTTGAAGGTGAAGTGCTCCTGTGTGTTGGTTAAATCCTAGACCTATTTGGATCCGATTCCTATCAAAATTAATTTAATTTAATTAATTTTATGTTATTTGATTTTTAGAATGTTTATTTGAATTTTTGTGAATCTATTGATATTTTAATTTTGTCATTTGGATTTATAAATCAAGAGAAATTTAATTTTTGAAGTTTTAAATAAACTAAGAGATTTAAAACTCCTAAAAATGAAAAATATTTTTTCTAAAAATATGTGGGACCCTTCATAATTATTGGAGGCCCATTTAATCACATGGGACAATTGGGTGGTGCCCATGAGTGGCCACTAAAGGGTGGCACATCCCACCCATAGGGGATGCTTCTTCTTACTAATTGTGGTGAAACACATCTCATGTTAGTTGGTTTTCCTTTTGTGGAGAGAAGCCTATTGCATTAAAGGAATGAAATATGTGGTTTTAGAAAACTTGAGAATCAAGAAGCCTTTGATTATGAAATAAGGAATGAATATTTACTAATACAGAACGTAAAGAAATATTTTTATTATTTAACTTATTTGATGAAAATAGGTTTAAGAAAGGGAGGATAAGGTTCTAGTACCTTCCTTAACATCTTGATCAATGTTTCAAAAAGCATTAGGCGGGTCCTAGGCGGCCTTAGGGATCCAGACTGCCCAGCGCCTAGAACCTAGGCGACCCAGTTGAAT